TGAGGATCCCCATCGTTGACCTTTCTTAGATCCAAAATGAATCTGAATTGGTCTGACCCTTTCTTTGGAACTACGTTTATAGGGTTGATAACGATGTTTGGGGAGTGAACAATTACTCCTTCTTTCAACATGGAACCAATCTCTTTTTGGATCCATTGTTTCTCTGTAGTAGAGAATTTCCTCTGATGGTAATTTTTCCAACGATTCGAATCGGAATCTATTGGAATTCCGTTTTGAATCCAATCGTGAATCGTGTTGGAAACACCGAATTCTTGCCATCGGCTGTGAAAACGAGAGAGACGACCACCAAGAGGAATGTTGGCATCATTTATTGTTGTTGTTTGAGTTGGAGGAATTTGAAGCGGTTCCACTTGCTTGGTGAGCATTGTTGAATCTTCTGAAGCCTTGATTGTTGGATTGGTAACTATTACCTTGTCCTTGGTTGAAGTTGTTGTTGTTGTAGTTGTTGTAACCAGCTTGTCTATTATCGTATCTAGTGGGGAACTTACGAAAATTAGGGGTTCTGCTTGCCCATTTGCTGACTTTTTCAATGGTTTCTGCTGCTTTTACTTTTTCAGCAGATTTAATCGCCTTCTCTTGTTGTTTGGAGGTGATTTGGTCAAGTGAACCTCCTGATTTGTAGCTGTTAGAGAAGTTTTCAGCTGCTTCAAAGCCATTTTTAATGCCCATTCGAATACAGACTAGATTTAACTCAGAAATATTCTGAATAAATTCAAATCCTTGAAGAATAAGCGGTAAATCAAGGGTATCACTCTCTCTCAAACGCTTGCAGATTTGAGAGATGATAAAAGAGTTTGTTAAAAGTAAAGAATAACCTTTACTTTTAATATCTTTTATACCAGATGAATCTGGAATGGGAGTGTCTACTTCTTTTCTGAACAACAATTCAAGAGCAGCCATTCTATTCTTGAATTCCAAGTTGTCAGCGTATGGAGCATTGGCTGTTTCGAATAGAAGAGAAACAGCTTCTTCCAACGGCAAATCTTCTTTCAATGACTCACCAAACATTCTTTGGTAAGAGTCGATGACGTGGTTTTTAAACCAATCATCTGGTTCATCAGCAACTCTTGCTCTTTTACCAGAAACCTCTTCAGATGGGTTGGACTCAAACAATTCCATCGAAGAAGCGAGAGCAGAAGCACCTTGTGAACCAACCTTGGCGTTGTTTGAGTCTTTGCCAGGTGATATCTTTTGTTGATTGTTCTTCTTGTTCTTCTTTGTGTCTTGAACAGGAGGAGGTGAAGGCATAGCAGAACTATCAGATGAATTTGAGGTGGAAGGAGTTAGAACAATGACTCGTTGCTCGCTACCTGCAGAAGGTGAGCTAAGGTCTTTCGTTTTCTTGTTGTTCTTTGGTGTAGTTGGTGTTGGGGCCATTGTGATAATTTTTTGAGCATGGAAAAATACTCAACTTATATTTTATTAAGTTTACAATGAAAACAAGTCCATTCTTCACTTCGCTCAGAATTAGACACAGCAGAGAATTTGAAATTACCAAGTTTGGTAAAATCGATATTATAATCCCTAGATAGAGACTGAACATCCTCTATATCCATTCTCTCTAGAAATAGTTTGGTAATATTTTTACCAACCTTAATATCTACAAATGGATATGATAAAATTAGTTTCAAGCATTCTATGCTGTATATTGGAATTCTGAATACTCTAAAAGAAGGATATTTTTTGTAGAAATAGTGTAATGTGTCCATAATTTGTTTAAGATTATCATATTTGAGCTCTTTGTAAATTTCAGATCGGATATTCCATAAAAAGGAAAATAAGTTAGTATTAAGTGTAAAATTATTGATGATATAGTTTGCCTCTTCAAAACGATATGATACTAGACTATTGTAGAGGAACATTTCAATATTTGTTGGATAATTATTTGGAAACACGCTTTTCAATTTTTCCATTGGAACTACTGGGTTTCTTTCATAGTCCATAGATGAGAAGTACATATTCTGTTTATGTGCTAAAGCTGAAGGGTAATAACTTGATTTAGGTGTGTAAATAATTGTTAAAGAGTTGCTTCTTTCATAGTAAAATAATGGTGGCTTGAAATCGAATAGTGCATATTTAAGGTTAGGTGTTAGATCTATAATTTTGTGTAAATCAAATCCTGTTGGAAAAATGTGGTCATATGAAGAATAGTTTCTTCCAAAATTTGTTGAAAATGAAATAAATTCCACTTTATACAACACATGACCACCACAAAGCTTTTTCATCTTATCAAATAGTTCACTAAATTTGTCAATCCACTCACTATTAGTTATGTAATATGAAAAAAAGGATCTTTTAAACCAAGGTTTACGTTCCAATATTTCAAAATATGTATTGTCCAAATAATATCTACACAGTTTCCTTTCTGAAAATGTTGACAAATTCAAAATTGTTGGTCAAAACGCTTGCACAGATTTTAACGGTGTTTGACAAGTTAAAAAGAAAGGCACTCTACTAGGATGATCAAAATCAACAAATTCCTCCACATTATTCATACCACTCCGTTCATATTCGTCCAATGTTGATGGCATTTCTATCATCGTATCGTAACAACTGATCACAACAAATATCACGAATATAATCGAGGTAGTAGAAGATAATAAAGTGAATTTCCGTGGGAAGATCTGCGAGGGTGTAAACTTGTTCACATTTTTATCAGGCAAATATAAATCCAAACAAATCAAAAAGACTACAGCACCACAGGTTCCCAAGTTGTCTCCAACCTCAGTACTGATGTGGCTCGACGATGCTTAACTTCTCAAATCGGACGGGATGAGGTGCATTCATCGTGATATGGCCGTAGCCATTCAATTCTATAATTTCTGAATTATAAATCAACAAAGTCCCAAAGGGTTTATAAAGAGAATATGTAATATTTGGTTCTAAAAACATTTAAATATTAAATTGAAATTTTAAATAAATAATTTATAAATCTAGTTTGTTTTGTATACAAGGTCCCTTATTTTTTAGCATTGAGTTTGTTCTTAATCCAATTCAAAGCAGAACCAGCTCTGAACCATTCAATTTGCAAATCACTGAAAGTATGATTGAGTTCAACATCGAATGATTGACCATTTTGCTTCTTAACAGTCATTGTGACTGGCTTACCAATTTGGAATTTATCACCACCAATGTGCAAAGTGAGCTTATCAGTTGGGTCAACCTTATCGTAGTCCTTAGCATCCTTGAAAGTTAATGGCAACATTCCTTGCTTCTTCAAGTTAGTTTCGTGAATACGAGCGAATGAACGAGTAATGATAGCAACACCACCCAACCATCTTGGTTCCAAAGCAGCATGTTCACGAGATGAACCTTCACCATAGTTTTCATCACCAATAACAACCCAATTAACACCGTTAGCCTTATAATGTCTAGCAACATCTGGAACAGTACCGAATTCACCGGTCAATTGATTCTTAATTGAATTAGCCTTAGCATTTTCAATATTGACAGCACCAATCAACAAGTTGTTGGAGATATTGTCCAAGTGACCTCTGTACTTCAACCATGGACCAGCCATAGAGATGTGGTCAGTAGTACACTTACCGACAACCTTAATCAAGACTGAACAGTCGTTATAGTCCTTACCGTCCCAAGCAGAGAATGGTGACAACAATTGTAATCTGTCACTAGTTGGAGAAACATCAACAGAAATCTTAGAACCATCTTCTGGTGGAGCTTGGAAAGTATTTTCACCGGCATCGAAACCCTTAGCTGGCAATTCCATACCCTTTGGTGGAGAAAGCTTGAATTCCTTACCATCAGAACCAACCAAAGAATCCTTCATTGGGTTGAACTTTAAGGAACCAGCAATTGACAAGGCAGTAACAATATCTGGAGAAGCAACGAAAGCATGAGTAGCAGCATTACCATCGTTACGAGCAGTAAAGTTTCTATTGTATGAAGTAATGATAGAGTTTGATTCACCCTTCTTAGTATCCTTTCTGTCCCATTGACCAATACATGGACCACAGGCATTAGCCAAAACTTGACCACCAGCAGCTTCCAAATCAGTCAAAATATTATCACGAGAAATGGTAGCTCTGACTTGTTCGGAACCTGGAGTGATGAAGAAGTGAGCCTTACTCTTCAAACCATGTTCAGCAGCTTGTTTACAGATATCAGCAGATCTACTCATGTCTTCATATGATGAGTTGGTACAAGAACCAATCAAACCAGCACTGAGCTTTTCTGGCCAACCTTCCTTTTCAACTCTTTCAGCGAATTTTGACAATGGAGTACCAAGATCAGGAGTGAAAGGTCCGTTAATGTGTGGTTCCAAAGTATCCAAGTTAATTTCAATAATTTGATCGTAATCAGCATTCTTATCAGCCTTGAAAATATCCTTATGATCATTAATGACTTGAGCCATTTGAGTTCTCTTAGTAGAAACTAAATATCTTTCCATAGCTTCAGTATATGGGAACAAACTAGTGGTAGCTCCGATTTCAGCTCCCATATTACAAATAGTGGCCATACCAGTACAAGAAAGAGATTCAACACCAGAACCGAAATATTCAACAATGGCACCAGTACCACCCTTAACAGTCAAAATATCAGCAACCTTCAAAATGACGTCCTTTGGAGTAGTCCAACCATTCAATTTACCAGTCAAATGAACACCAATAACCTTTGGTGTCTTTAATTCCCAAGGAATACCAGCCATAACATCAACAGCGTCAGCACCACCGACACCAATAGCAATCATACCCAAACCACCAGCATTTGGAGTGTGGGAATCAGTACCAATCATCAAACCACCTGGGAAAGCATAGTTTTCAAGGACAATTTGGTGAATAATACCACTACCTGGTTTCCAGAATCCAATATTGTGCTTAGCGGCAGCAGTAGCCAAAAAGTTATAAACTTCCTTGTTGACATCAACAGCCTTCTTCAAATCTTTTGTGGCACCATCTTCAGCTTGAATCAAGTGATCACAGTGAATGGTTGATGGAACTTGGACAACTGGAATTCCCGAACTCATGAATTGGAGCATAGCCATTTGAGCAGTAGCATCTTGCATAGCCTAAATAATGTTATTAATAAGAGTATTAGTACCAAAAAATTGATGATGAATAATTTGTTGTTGTTTTTGTTATTATTCAATTTTGATAAGAGAATGAGGTAATTGATGATTATTATAATCATAATAAACATTGTGTGATGTTCCAAATAACAAATTGTTTCATCATTGTGTGATGAGGAGTATGTATTATTATTGTTGTATAAAACCAATAAGCCTTCAATAATCGTTTTGAATTCAACTACTTACAACTCTATCTGGACGGAGCTTCAAATATGTCTTACCACGAACAATTTCTTGGTTTGCTGGGTCATCTAAATGGCCGTACAAAATCTTTTCAGAGAGAGTCAATGGTCTGCCGAGTCTTTGCTTGACAATATCCAAACGAGAAACAAGGCTTGAAATATCATATTCACCCTTTTCGACAAGGGAGAATGGAGCCTTGGTCTTCTTTTGTGTTGTTTGGGATTTACTAAAACGTCTGCTTTGATTGGTGGCAATTGATTGAGAAACAGAACAAGTCTTAGCTGAGTTTTGTTTAATGACTCTCTTCATTTTTTTTACGTAATAACAGGATACCAATCCACTATGCCTTCGGGAGAATTAAAAATATTTGGTCATTGTAAACTTGAGTGACTTTGTGTTCCTCTTAATATTAATTACCAGTACCAATAAAAGAACGAAAACTTACGAGAGTGGCATTTGGTAGTGGAGACTTGTAATAATAGCTCGTATTTTCGAAATTCGCCACAACATTCAATCAACACAATACATCAAGGCGTTTTACTTGTTGAGGCGAATAGAAAAAGTAACAACGTTGAAGGATGGAACGTTATTAGCAGGCAGAGGAATGCAAAGATTGGTGATAATTTGGCGTTTAACTGTAGACTACAGCTTAAGAATCTTATTGATTGAATTTGCGGTACTAAGCAGAAAAAGGAAAAATCTCCACAATTATTTAGTTGTTACCTATTATTAATTCGGAAACAAGGATTTATTGGTAAGCTTCCCAATGAATGATACTGTAAATCGGTGAAATGGATGTAATATGAAATTATTGTAAAAGCTATTTCAATATTACATCTGTTTAAATATTGAATAGCTTACAATTAAAGGTTACAATAATTTATTGACAATATAAGTTATACAAATAAAAGGTTTGTTTGAGGGGAGAATTGTTGGGTGTTAAAGGAGGGTTGAATTTTAAAATTTAATTTTTCAATCCATATTTCTTCAATAATTCATCTTCCAAATTCTTTTGTTGGAGTTCTTGCCATTCAGGAGAACTAGAGAAATTAAAGGTTAATTAAATTGAAAATAAAAACTTACTCAAAACCAACAAATGTCCAGAAATCTTCAGGACCAGCCTTGAAAAGTTTTGGTGTAAAGACCTGTCCTTGTTGTTCACGTTCCTTCTTTACATTTCTTTGCTCGGTTTCAACCTTATCCTTCTCTATGGCAGCAAGTTGAACATCATTTTGCTTGATTGCCTTTGTAAGGTTATCCCACAACTTCCTGGATTCATTGTCCTTTTGAACTTCCATTGGAGGTACGTGTTTTGGAACAACTTCAGCAGACCTGACATCAAAGAATAATTCTTCACTATTCTTGTCGGAATCCTATTGTGTTTAATATGAATGTAATAATAATATTATTCCAAGATTATTGTTGTTGTGTTGTTATTATTGTCGTTATTGTTGTTATTGTTGTAAAAATGTTGATGATTGGATGGTTAAATAATGTTGGTGAAATTAATCTACTACTAACCTTTCCTTTGATGTATAATTTTTCGTTCCATTTTCCACGTATTTGATAAATAGTCTTCTTCTTGTGTTTTATCTTTGCTGAGACAACATTATATTCTCCTCCGAAGAATGGTTTGCTCTTAAATTCAATTTCTGCTAACATATTTGTTTTCTTACATTCAATCTTAGTTTTACCAGCCATTTCCATGATAAGTTTACCAAAGATCACACCTCTGGCATAAACACTTGGCCAAGTGGCTGTATAAACTTCATTTCCACGAGAACCAAAAGTAATTTTGATATTACCTTCAGTAATAGAAGCTGCTGAGTTGCCCAAGAACTTTGATCTTGGATAGTACCATCCTTCAAGTAAAAGTTCCTTTTGTTTACATTCAGCATAGATGGCACTCTTTGGAGGGTGATGACTCACTTGTTCACCTATACAAGTCATTAAACCATTTTCTCTAAGTTCATAATTGCAACGGAATACTTCACCAAGAACTGGGTTGTATGGTTTCTTTACACCTTTTGGCTTTACGTGCCATCCTGACAAATACCATCTAACAAGATGAACCATTCTTTGGATTGGGTCATCATCATCCATGGCTCTAAATTACAATAGTATTGTTCGATTTGGTGTAAAAATGTTGATGATATTAAAAAACATGATGTTTTGGTAATTGTGTCAAATATTCAATCATGGATAGATTCATGTTAATACAATTAGAAAGGTAATGATGGTGATAATAGATTAATGACAACAAGAATGATTGGAAGAATAACAGCAATAATAACAATTAATCTATCATCTTGATACATTTAAAAAACAACAACTTACGTGGTGAGTAAATGGGCATGAGTATTAAAGTCGGTTAACTTTTCCAATAGAGAACGTGGTTCAAGGAAATCGCAAGGAATTGGAATTTTAGTCAAATCCATACCAATCTTCAATTGTCCCATAAATTGCATCAACATGCTCTTTGTATTTTCATTCAAAATTTCGATATCATCCTCGGATTGTCCTTTAAACATTTCACATTGTTCTTCTTCCTTTGAGAGTTCCCTTGGTGGAGCTTCTTCAGCGACCGATGAATCAGAATCAGAAATATCCTCAACACTTGTTGATTGTACGAGCTTATTAGACATTTTTTTGTTTTGCTGTGTGGCTTCTTTGGTGGGCAGCGAATATTATTCAACAAAAGATGCATTAAAAAAACCTGTTCAACTGGGCCTCTAAAATACTGTCATTCTAGAAGCAATTTGCGATTATCTTCTCTTTATGAATCGCACATCTTAGCTACCTATTGTTCGATGGAATGATTGTGAATGAGATGATTGAAACACATGAGGTTTTGCATTGAGAAGAGTTGAAACTAGTTGGTTTGTGTTGAGGTGAAATTTTAACTGCAACCGTTGAGATTAGATTCTTGACAGGTTTTGTTCCTGAGAGATGACAAGAGGAGCACTCAACCAAACATAGCTGTAGAAAGCATTGTAAACTGAGAGATTTTCCCTTACATTAATATTCAACTGCTTCATTAAAACAGTAAAACCATAACACTGGTTGTTTGCAATTTGGATAGTTCAAATCAAGGAACCTTGATTCAAGCAAATGAACTGCAATTCATCTCCCCAACTTAATGCACTATTTGGAATGTATTTCCAGACAAAAAAACATGCATTCTTAATTTGGGCTCAAATCTCAGATACCCCAATCACAACACTTTCATATTTCAGCTCAAATTTTTCCCTGAATATTTTTGAATCTTTCTTCAACAACATAATATTTACATTTCCATTCAATTATTCTTGTGTGGGTGTTGATGCATCACAACATATAATTCAAACTATCGAATCAAAAAATGACCACAAAACGAGGACGTCAAACAACAAGGGAATCCAATTCAACCTTGTCATCAAACTCTGGAGGCTCCTCTTCTGATTCGGATGATTCATCATCTACTTCATCAGAAAAAAGTATGAAACAAAGGAAGAAAAATAGTAAATCGTTTAACATGGATGCTCCTTCACATGTTCCTGTTTTGATGGGTAATAATCCATCACCTCATCATTTACTACCTCCAGGAGCCTATCATCCTTCCATGATGGGAAAAAATCTTCATCAACAACAAACAATTCAGAGTAGTAGTAATAATCATCAACCAGTACAACAACCAGTAGTAGTTGTGAATAATCAAGTTCCGAATCAACAGGCATTGAAATCAAGAATATCCAGTGAACAAGTAGCCTATTGTCCATCATGTTCTTTTATTGGAAATAAGTCACATTTGCCTCAATCGATATCGTCGGTGAGTGTGGAAACTAACTTTAATTCTCAAACTGTATCCATGAATGAATGTTATGAATCTATTTATCATCAATTTGTGATAAAAATTACCTCTGCAAGACCATTTCAGAGAATGTGTTTTTATTTGAATAATGTAGGATCTGAAACTAATTCAAAAACAATTCAACTTTCACAAAATGATAGTCTAGAAGGACCCTTCTCTCAACTTCAAATAGTATTTGCATCAATTTATTTATCGAGTGCTCTATTAACAGAGCCTCTAATTTCCTCTCAAAATTTACCATTTCTCAATGAAAATTCAGCGAGACCTTTCATACAATTTGGAAATGTTGAATGTACGTTATTTCTTCAATAATTTTATGGATATATTCTCAAACATTTTCTCACTATTATTATTCCTAATAATGATAATTATTTAGGTCGAGGAAACGAAATCCTAATCCCTCTCCAATTCTTATCTAATGATCCTGAGAAATACTTTCAACAACAATATCAAATTACAAATCCAAACACTGAGATAGATTTTTCTAATACCAAAAGTGTGATTGGAGCTTTACTAGATATCCAATCAACAACTTTGAGCTCTACTACATTGAATAGTACTGAGTGTGCATCACCAATTAGCACCCTCATCAGTAGCTCAACAGTTTCGTTAACCTTCCCTTACTCTGTGAATAGATCCAAAATAGTTGCTTCCATTCCAAGGTTAGTTTCTAAAAACCATTCCATAACAACTAACAATACCCTTAGTAATTTGATGCAAAGTGATTTACCTCTTATTTACCATGATATTAGGCAGCACGGAAAGGGAACCTTACTATGGTATCCAATTCATGTTCCTTTCCTTTCGAATGGCTTAAAATTATTATGTTTACTCGCTCACAATACATCAAATGATAAGCATAAAGATTTATTCGGAAGATTTTCAAATGATAATGAATTGAGATATCTTAATGTGGGATCTCTGCTATTGGAATTTATTAATGGACTTATGAGTGAACAAAAGGTACGGTTAAAATTTTAAAAGCTCACATTTCTTAACATTTATATAGAAAAAATACTCCTATGTCTATGAAATGAAAAATCAATCAGTCTTCCCAATGAATGAGAAGAAGACTGTAAAGATATTAACCCACAGTAATTTACACAGACACAAAATTGGTGATGAGGCTTCTATAACGAATAATAGCTTTTGGATGGGAAACTCTGACATTAATGTATACCAGAACAAGTGTATTGTTAAGGTACTACAATATGGAGTTTGTAAGAAAGCCATTGTAAATCACCCATACGATTCGTTTGCTTCAACTGAGGAGGATGATATTGAAATTGTTTATTTTATAGAGTATTCAACATCAAGAGGACCAAAGAATATGTTTGTCTCAGAGGGGGAGCTTCACACACTTGCTGGATCAAATCCTGAACTCTCCAAAGAGGAAATTATCAAAAAAGAAAGTAATGACAAGTTATATAATGAGGCTCTTCAGCAAGTTTATAATATCAATGCTCAAGATTTATTGAATTTGGAAAAGAAATATCAATTACAGCAACTCAATGAAGAGCAAGAATATCATCAAACCAATCACTTTAAAGGAGATTTACATTTACATGGTAACCTGCTACTGAAAGGTCATTTGAAAATTCAAAAACAAGCATCTTGTGTTGAAAGAGTTATTATGAATGTAGATTTGAATAACATTGATTACTACATGCTATTTGTCGATAGCATTCCATCTGACGTACCTATTAAGGTAATGCTTTGCCTCTGCACTAAATTTACTGATTCAACAGTGAGAGCTCAACCAGTCACAATTTTAGAAACACCAAACTACTTTATCTATCCAAGGGTATTTAAGAGCGATGTAAGTATTTCAAATTGTTACATTCATTATTAACATAATGTTAATAGAATATGGTAGATATTTGGTTCGAATGTCGATCAATTGGGAGTCAAGAAAAATTAGAAAGTACAACACCTCTGCCTTTCAAACCAACAAATGAAAATCCAAGCAATATTGAACCACTTGTTCCTCTTGCTTGGCAACATTTCTTTTTGAAGAAGGCATCATCATTTAATAAACAAGATTAAACAGATATCTGTTTGTAATAATATATTCAAAAAGATTCTTCATCAAATAATTCAAATACAAAAAAATAGAACGATCACCATCCACACAATAATATTAACAAAATGAGAGGAGGAAGAAGAGGTGGTGGAAACAGAGGAAGAGGAAACAGAAGACAAAGAGGTCCACCAAGAAGAGGAGGAAGACCACCACAAGATGGTAGACCTGCTATCGGAGGAGGAGGTGCTCTCATTGATTTGACTGTTGAAGATGATTATTTATTAGAAGATAATGGTGATGACGATTCATCATCGGAAGAAGAGGAAGAATTTGATTCAAATCAACCAAAAACATCCAATTCATCTGCATCGGATAAGAAGGTTGTTAAAACCTATGCATCAGGAAAACAACAATTTTATGAACAAAATAGACACAGATTTGAGATGAATTCTGAAGTTTTAACATGGACATTAGAAGATTTGGAAACACCAATAGAGTTGGATCCAGTTCCTGATCATTTTAGAGATACGAAACATTATTGTTCAAGTTTTTTGGATTATATTTTCGAAGAGACTAGAGCTTGTATTTATCAATCTTTGGAAACTAATAATCATGGTGATATGGCAAAATGCTCTATTGTCAAATGGAAGAAGGGAAAGAATCGTGGAGAATCTGCTACTATTTATTTTGATATTATTCCGAGACCACCAAAAGATCCAAACATGACACCTTATATTCCAATGTTTCAAAAACATGATTATTGTGTAGTAACTACTGAACCATCCCTTCAAAATTTGGAATCACAAAATCATTTCTTTTGTATTATTGAAGAGGGTAATCAAATTAGTTCAAACAAATTTCAACAACAAAGTCAACCATGGAGTCGTAGAAATGGTGGAAAAGGTGGAAGAAGAAGAAGAGGAGGAAAAGGAGGAAGAGGAGGTAGAGAAAGACCATCAAAGCCAATGTCTAATATCAAAACAAATTTCAAAGCTAAATTCCATGCCTCTAGTGTTACCAAGCATTTACTTAACATGGATGCTACTGCAAGAAAAGGAAAAAAACAAAAACAAAAGCGTCAATCAAATAATGGACAAAGACAAAATTGGTTTATTTTTCCAATCTTCACAATGGTTACAAAACACAGAGAGTATGAAGCAATTCAAAAATCTGCTATTCCTGCTCCTCTTTTCAATGTATTGAAGGGTGAAAAGTCTTATCACAAAAAGTCTCAACCGGATGGACAAAATATTGCACCACCTTTAAGAGAATTCTTAATGAAGTCATACAATAGTTCACAATTTAGAGCTATTGATCAAGTTTTAAACTTGGATGAGAGAGTTCAATGTATTCATGGACCTCCAGGTACTGGTAAGGTATGTAAATAATTAACATAAGAATATCTTAATAATTTTCAAAATAGACAAGTGTACTTCTAGGATTAATCATGGCACTCTTGGCTAATAAGAAGAGAATTCTTGTTTGTTCAGGAACTAACGTAGCTGTCGATCACATTGTTGCCAAACTCTCTCAAAATGGGTTGATAAATAGTAATGGTGAAAAGTATCAATTATCAATTAACAAAATGGCAAGAATTGGTAATGACGAAAAAATTGATGAGCTAAGTAAGAGAATAGATCCTGCCACTCGTTTCAAACAACTTCAAAGAGCTGTCAAGGATATTATTCACTGTGTAGAATTGATTCGTAAGGAATTATTTGAAGTTATGGAGAAATCTAGGCAAAGTAATACAGCATTCAATGCAAGAAATTCTATCAAGGGAAGAACTGAGAAGGTTATCAAACTCATTAAGAATACAGAAGAAACCATTACAAAACTTTTATTAACCAAGTTGATCAATCAGGAAATGGTAAATACTGTCAGTGAAAAATTCTCTAAGGTAACAGAACATATTCAAACATTCTTGGAATTTGGTAACAATAATGAAGCCAAGAAAATAGATTTAAAAAATGGAGCTGAGGATATTTATCAAGAAATTGATTCCTTTTACAAGGAATTACAAGTCTATCTTGTTGTTGATAACAGAGATGTGGAAAAGAAGATTCTTGATAATTGTGATTTGGTATTTGCCACTCTAGCTATCACTGGTAGACATCTTATGAGATCATGCAAAGCTTTTGATATTATCATTATTGATGAAGCTGCTCAAGTTACAGAAAGTGAAAGTGTTATTCCACTCGATTTGGCAACAGAAAAGCTTGTCTTGATTGGTGACCCTAAACAGCTTCCTTCAACTGTTATTTCAAATGAAGCTGTTGAAAAGAATTACAATAGAAGTATGTTCGAGCGATTGATGAAATTGGCAAACACCAAAGGATTCTCTATTCATAAGCCAGTTCTATTGGATACTCAATATCGTATGCACCCTAAAATTTCCAGATTCCCAGAACATCAATTCTATCATTCTGTCCTTAAAGATGGTGAAAATGTCAAAAAATACGATGTTCATCCAGAATGGCAACCTGTTTATGAACTTGGATTGGAACCTTGCCTATTCATGAATTGTCCAAAATCTGCTGAAACTTTCAATCCTAAACTCAAGAGTTACAATAATGAAGAAGAGGCTGATACCATTGTAAAAATTATTGATTTGTACATGAATAAGTATGGAATTTCGAGATCCAAGATTGCAGTCATTACTTTCTATCGTGCTCAAGTAGATTTGATTCGTGAAAAGTTGACAGAATATGAAAAGAAGAATCCACACCCAGTTAGAGTAGTAACTCCAGTTGCTACTCCTCAAGTTACAGCTGTTCCAAAGCAAGAAAACCCGACAACAGAACAAGAAAAGCCTGTTGAAAATGCTGGTGAAGGAACCTCTGAAGAAATTTCTATTGAAGATTTACTTCCAATTGATGATTCATCAGATAGCGATGAAGAAGAGGAAATTGTTGAAGAGGAATGGTTCGATGTGAACACTGTAGATTCTTACCAAGGAAGTGAAAAGCAAGTTATTATTCTCTCAACAGTTCGTGCCAATGATAGAAATAGTTTGGGTTTCTGTGTAGATCAGAGACGTTTGAATGTAGCTATTACTAGAGCTCAATTTTCACTTGTTATTGTTGGTAATGGTGAAAATCTCTGTTCCAATGATTTGTATAGAGAATTTATTAAGAATACAAAGGTTGTTGAACCAAGAGATTTCTTCCAATTAGAAAATGATGCACAAGAAACTGATAACATGCTGTTGAGAAATTTGAATAGAAATAGCTTGAACTTAACATCTGCCTTGTTAAACAACAAGTCTATGGTCTCAGAATTGGGACAAGATTTGGAGACCATCTCTAATACTATTATTGATCTCAGTTTAGATAAGGACAACCACATTCTCTTATTCCAAGCTTTAAAAACTTTGAATATTAACTTCAAGAGAACATTCCAATATGGTAATAATTTATATCATAGAGCCATCTATTCTAGATCATATGATTGTGTTTTGGAGTTGCTCAAGAGTCCAAAATCTCATTCACTCCTCTTTGATTTGAATCAACAAAAGAATTTACCAATTCACTCATTGGTATTGGAATATGGTAAGAGAAAACCACAAGAAAAGGAAAAGATGAAGATTGCCTTTGAAAATATGATAACAGTGCTTCTTGAACATAAGCCAACTGCAATTCAAAGACAAATTTTACAAATAGACTCTGATGATCCATATGAAGTTTTTGATGTGCCAAGCGGAATTGATCAAACTATTGATGTTACAATTTTAAAACAGGATTTGGATGATTTAATGGAAATTGTGGTAAAGCATGATTTGTTGCCTGAGGATGAAAGTTTGGAATTGATGAGTAAGGGACTTAAATGTGAAAGATTTTTCAAGCCACCCCCACCAGTCATTAACAATATACAACAACAACAACAACAACAAGTCAACCAACCTCAACAAAAGAGACCACAACACAAGGCTCACCAAAACAATAACAATGCCAATAAGCAACAACCACAAGGCAATAATGGTAGACCTAGCTCTTCCAATCAAGTTCCTCCACAACCACAACACCAACAAGCAAACAATAAGCATCAACATAATAACAGAGATAATAGACAAGCTCCACAGCAACAAAAGAACACTCAACCACAACAACATCAACAAAAACCACATTTTGTTAATAAGCAATCTCAATCTCAACCACAACAGCAACAGCAACAAGTGTTTGTGAAAAAGACTGACTCTACTACTAACCAACCACATCATAAACAAGCTCAATCCCAACCACAACACAAGCAACAGCAACAACACTTTGTTAAAAAGGTAGAAACACCTCAACAGCCAAAACCACAGAGTCAACCATCTGCCTCCAATAACAATACTGGATATCAATCTCAATACGAACAATTTAAGCAATTAATGCAAGCCAAGTTTGCCACAGATTCTACTCAAACACCTCCTCCAACCAATTCAAACAACCCAACCCAGCAACAAGCTCCATCCCAAAACAATCAAAAGCAAGTGAATCATCCTTTCAGAGATTACAAGAAACAAGGAGGAGGAAATAATCGATCATTCCATAATAATCAATCCAATAATAACAAGTAAATTATGAACACTTAATTATTTCAATTTTACCAAGCAGTATTACAAAGAAAATGAACAATAACATTTAAAAATAGAAAAAAATGGAAGAACGAGTGATCGTGGAATTGTGTGATTTGCACTTTACATCATCAAAAGGTGTTGAATTTATGAATAATTCATCATCGGATCACAATTATTTTTCAATGTTGAAAGGCAAATTGAGGGAACCTACGGAAATTCCCTTCTCGATGACATTTCATGCCATACATGAAATTCCAAAGATTGATATCGATGCCAGTACAAGCTATATGAGTATTTATGATGTTGAGATTGTAAATGATAGAGATTTGATGATATTTGGAACTAATTCTTACCTTCACTTTTACCATTTGACTACAAGGTTAAAATTGAAATCAGTTCAGTTGACAGATTATGTTTCCGATGTTCATGAGCTTGTAGTAGATGGATGCTATCTCTATTTAACATCTGGATCTCGGTTATTTAAATATAATTTGGATTCATTATTGAATATTGATGACAATAAGGATACTAAAGAAGCATTGATTTGGGAAAGTCTCCCAAATGTTCTTTCAAATTGTTGGGGATTAGCTCTTTTGGAAATGGGTTTGAAAAAGTATGCTTTTGTAATGGATTATGGTGAAGGAATACTTGTGTTTGATACTGCAACTGGAAATCGAGTTGAAATGAAAATGCCAAGAATCACAACTGGATATGGAATTGCCTTCACAGATACGAAAGAAATGCTTATATCGACCTCAAATAATGCAGAGGGACCTATTCAATTATTCACATACAATCCCTCTAATATGGAGTGGGAAAAAACTAGAGAGGTAAATAGAGATGCATCAATGAATTTCAATACTCCATATGGTATTTGTTATGAAAAACGAACTCAATTAATTTATCTAATGGATACATTTGCAAAGGCAGTTTTTGTGTTTAGAAAACAGGATATGGTTCTAGTACAAAAGTGGGAGCTGAATCAGTATTTATCTGCCCAAACATTGTATGGCATATCATTGAATCCAAAGAAAGGAGAATTATTTTTACCTGTTTGTGACCATTCAGTCATAATTATGAAGTGATTAGTTTAATAATCTCGTTTATAAAAGTGAATGCAGTTTCAATTTTAAATATATTACATAAATGTTACTTTTTCAAAGTAAACATTGACAACCTTGTACTTTGGAGTCAGTTTCTTTTCTCTTTCGAATTGTCTCAAAATAACAAGAGGAGAAAATACTCGTTCTTGTTCTCTTCTTTCCTTTTCAGCTGCAATAACAGCAACTGATTCCATTCCTTTGTATTCTTCCGCAAGTTGACCAAGAATATTAACATGCTTTCCACCAAATGAAGAGAATGCACTTTCTCCATCATCTGAATCTCCATCAGATTCTTCCTCTTCCTCCTTTTTCTTATGGTCATAATAGACCTTTTTCAACTTTTCAGTCAAGGTATTGAAACGATTTCTTCCACCATTGACAGCATTTCCTATTGAAGTAGCTGCCATTGCTCCACCTCCGAGACTATTACTTGCTGCGTGAACTGATTGTTTTCTTGAACTAGTTGGTACATCATCCTTCTTCTTTTCCTCTTCCCAATCCTGAAGGAAACTCAAAACATCCATCTCATCGTCCTTCTTCTTTTTCTTTTGTGCTTCTGATACAGCCCTTCCTCTAGTTGGAGTGGTAGCAGTTGCTCCACTAGTCGATGTTGATGTAAATGTATTAATACTTGCTTTTGGAACGCTACCTGATTCTGTAGAGTTCATTGTGGTTGGTGAAATTGATTTTGGAGAGGATGACATTGTATTCAATTGAGAAAGTTCCTTTTCAAATCCTTGAATACTATCCTTTAATTCCTTCAAATCATGATCTTCACTAATATCTGTTCCAACCTCTGACAAATCGTCCGTGTCAGAAAAATCACCAGTTCCAGATAATCCAGTTTCTGATATTTTAGAAGTAGAAGATGATGTTTTTGATGGAAAAAGTAAATGTAGAGGTGTTTTCACAAGTGCAGATCCCAAACTTGAGTTTGAACTTTCTCTCGGTTTCATATTTAAAAGTGATGAATTTTTATCATTTTCATGTTGTTCATTGTTCAATTGATGAGAAATATTAGAGGAAGATGAAGATAATTTCTTTGGAGTGAGCATACTTTTCAATGATGAAAGACTTTTCTTTCTTTCTTTTAGGGTATTATTCGAAGAAGAGGAAGAATTAGACGAAATGTTGTTGGACGAATTAGTAGACGAAATGTTAGCAGCATTGGCTAAATTATTATTTAATTCAGTTAATAGTGCAGAACTACTGGTAATGGTGAGGGTTCCTCGCTTTGTTGTTGTTGTTGTTGTATTTGATTCTTGTGATGAGCTGTCAGTGTTGGCATTTGACATTGATGAAACGGATTGGGATCTACGATAGGCATCATTTTCGTTTGGTGATGGTGTTGTAGGTGATGTTGGTTTTTCTGGAATTGTTATTGGTTGAGAAGACGATGACAGCGACTTTCGTTTAAACATTTTTTTTATGAAATTTGACAGCTAATGGTTTTGACATTTTATGGATGCATGAACTTGGTCATATTTACCAACATACCTTTCTTTCCAATAACAATTTTATTAGAAAATTGAACTAATGTTTTTTAAAATTTTGT